CAGTGATCTTCCAAGGTCCCTTCCAGCCTTACAATCTATGAACCTCCTGTCATGCCACACATGCATGGCAGAAGGTGTGATTATGGGATCATGCATTAGACCCACTGCATCTTATCACTGGTGCAGGGGGAACCTGGAATCATAATCTCAGGCTCCTCCTGCACCAACTCCCATAGCTGCGAGTCCTGCAGCTACCAGAGCATTTCCCACGCTGTCCCCGCTGTGCTGCAAGCCTCATTGGCTGTGAGGATCACAGTCAGGGCAGCAGAAAGAACACCACTGCTGATGCAAGCCTTGTCAGGTGCAGGGCTTCCAGCAGGAAGAATGCTGCTGCCACTGTAAACCTCATTAGGTGCTGGGCTTGAAGCGGCAGCAACATTCTCCTCGCTGGAAGCCCCACAGCTGACAAGGCTCACAGTAGGGGCAGCGCAGGGAACACTGCCGCCACTGCCAGCCTTGTCACCTGCGGGGCTGGCAGTGGGTTTTGCACCCCTGTGGCTAGGAGCCTCTCAGTTGATGGGGCTTCCAAGCACTGGGGAGCAGTTAGTGGTGTGATTAGAACAAGCTATAAAGTTATTACACATTTTTTGTGGAATAACTTTGTAGCCTGTTGATTATTTCATCATACCATGAATTGGTTGAATGTGTAGCTGGGTCAAAACTTAATGTGTAGAGGAGGCCTAAAGGATGCACTTTAGTTCAAACATGGCTGTTAAACTCAAAGCAAGACTTAATTCAGGGAAGATTTGTGGTCTAGTTTATATATACATCAGACCAGGTTATCAGAAGTATTTCTTTTGCCTGTAAAATTATGAATTGGCCCACTGAGAACCTTTATAGTTGCTACCGTTCCACAAATGCACAAATCCCATGAATTGGAATTCTTTTTTTTTTTTTTTTTTTTTTTTTCCAATTTTACATATCAGTCATTTCATTGTAAAATTGCAGAGGGGAAAAGAGCAGCCCACTTTATGGGGTTTGTGCATTTTGGAATGTATAATTAAATATATATATATATATTTTTTTTCACAATGCAGTTTCCTGATATTATATGCATATATATCTCCAATGTATATCAGTAAGTAAAGCTTGTCAAAAATGGAAAGGAAGTTGAAGAAAAACTTGCATAATTCAGTTTCTTAATATATTCTTAAGTACAGCCAACAGAAATGCTGACTGTACTTTAAGCAGGCCATATTAAGGGCACAGGAGTATGGTATCCTGAAGTGACAGAAAAGTGGGAAGTGTAACAGGAGGATAGCCTGGCTAGACAGCAGTCTTTTTAATTAGTTGATACTTAAAAGGAATCCTACAAAAAGTAGAAACTTGGTCATACTACCAGGCAGGAGTATAAGAGTATCACATGGGTGTGCAAGAAAATTAGGAAGGCTGGGGCATGATTTGAGTTGCAACTGGCAAGGGACATAAAAGGCCATAAGGGATTCTATAAGGATGTCAAAAGTAAGAGGAAAACCAAAGAAAGAAGGCAACCTAGTTACAGATGATGCAGAGAAGGCTGAAATATTTAATGTATTTTTTTTCTTACTTCAGCCTTCACAAACAGGGTCAGCTACCAGATGATGCATGCAGTTGACAGGAAATATTAGGGAAGGGGTGAAACTGCCTAGGGTAGTGGCAGAACAGGTTAGGGATTATGTAGGGAGGCTAGATGCTTTCAGATCAGTAGGGCCAGATAGGATGCACCTAGGATACAGAAGAAATTGGCTGAGGTTATTTCAGAGCTGTTGTCTCTCCTCTTTGAGAATTTGTGGCGGTTCAGTGCAGTCCCAGATAATGCTTGAGGGGGGACATGAAAAGGGTTTACAAAACACTAAATGGCAAAAAGAAAGTATATAGGGATTCATTGTTTACTATCTCTCACAATACAAGAACCAAGGATCATAAAATGAAGCTACTCAATAGTAAGGTTAAAACTAACAAAAGAAAGTTTTTGTTTTGTTTTGTTTTTACACTGAGTAGTGTAAGTAAAGTATGGAACTCATTGGCCACCAAGTGTAATTAAAATGTAGAGCTCATTGCCACAAGATGTTGCACAAGCTGACAATTTAAGTAGATTCAGAAAGGGAATGGACGGATTCTTGGAGGAAAGGTAGCTAACTGTTCACCATAGGATTTATAGATACAGCCTCTGAATCAAAACTGCCACATGCAGCCTCCAGCATTTAAGGTCTAGGAAGAGGAACAGGGGAAAAACCATGGTCCTACCCTGTTCATCTCCCTTTCAGCATCCATTCTTTGCCCTTGTGACACAGAACACTGGGCAAGATGGACCTATGGTCTGACCCAGTAAGTGACAGTTCTTATAACTGGAAAAGGGCAAATATAGCACCCATCTTTAAGAAAGGGAAAAAAGGAGGGTCTAGGGAACAGACCAGTCACTTTGACCTCTATACCTAGAAAGATCATGGAGCAGGTCCTCAAGGAATCTATTGTGAAGCACCTAGAGAAGAACAAGGTGATCAGGAACAGCCAGATTCACCAAAAGCAAGGCATGCATGACCAACCTGATTTCCTTCTATTATAAGATGACGGGCGCTATGGATAGGGGAGAGCATTGGGTAAAATACACCTTGGCTAGGGACAGAAAAAGCTTGAGACTGAATTGATTCAATCTTTACAGGTTAGTCTAACTTGGCTAGGCTGAACTGGTTTGTAGCCACACAAACATCCCTTCTGGACTGAAGAAATGCAGGTATATGCCTGCAGTGGCTCAGGCTAGAAGCCAGGGGGTACTAGAGCAGCTCTCCCTTCCCTTTCATAGTGCTGAGCTGAAGGGAACATAGCCAGACCCTGGCAGGACACTCATTTTCTGATGGGGTGCTTAATGCTGATAACAGAGCTGATAAATACTCTGTTATCAAGGGGGGGAACCCCTCCCTAATCAAAGGCCTCTCTCATTAGTTCAAGCTCTTCTTAAAAAGCTTTTTCCAAGAAAGGGAACATTCCAAGGAGGGACATTACCAGCTACCTGTTGATTAGCTCCAAAAAGTCCTAAGCAGATCTTGTCCTGCCTGCCTTTATCCTGTCTGTCTTATACTTCCCAGCATTAGCTAGCATACCAGATGCTGGCTATGGTCTCTGCTGTGGGAGAGAGGAGGGAGGGATCCCTGCTTGAGCAGTGAGTAGTTGCGGGGCGGGGGGGTGTGGAGAATGGGATGGGGGAAGCCAGGCAGATGCTGCTTGCCTGCAAGTCTCTGCTGGAGCTCCAGCAAGGGAGCAGAGGGGAGGAGCCAGCCTAGCTCTCCGGAGTAGAGCCCCACCCAGCCCAGAGGGCATGTCAGGATGCTGAGGAAGTCTGGTTCAACTTAAACCAGCAAGAGGTCTGGGACAGACATTGCATAAACCAGTTTGACCCAAATCAGTTAAACCTGATACTACACTCAACCAGGTTTTTCTCAAACCAGTTTCAGCCATTTTCGAACTGGTTTATGTGCACTGAATGTCTGTTCTGTTACAGGTTTAAACCAGTTTCTGATCACTTAAACCAGTTTATATATAATGTCTGGCCATAGCCCTTGACATTAGCAAAGCTTCTGACACTGTCTCTCAACACGTTCTCATTAACAACCTAAGGAAATACAGAATAGACAGAAGTGCTGTAAAATGGATACATAACTAGTTGGAACATTTTGCACAATGGATAGTCATCAGTGGTTCAAAGTCTAGCTGGAAGGTGGTATCAAGTAGTATTCCCCAGGGCTCTGTCCTTGGTCCAGTATTGTTCAACGTCTTAATTAATGATTCAGATGATGTTATTAAGTGCATGCTTAGGAAATTTGAAAATAACACCAAGTTGAGTGGAGATACAGACATTCTGGACAGTAGGACTAGGATCCAGAATGACTTGAATAAACTGGAGAAACTGTCCACAGTCCATCAGATAAAATTCATGAAGGACATGTCTAATCTTACATTTTGGGCAGAATAATAATGTGGACAAATACAAAGTAAGAGCGACTGGCTAGGCTGCAGTACTGCAGAGAAGGACCTGGGGGTTCCAGTAGACCATAAGCGGAATATGAGCCAAGAGTGTGCTCTTGTTGCCAAAAAAGCCAACAGCATACTGGGTTGTATGAATTGGAAGGTTACTTGCAAATCAAGGGAAGTGGTTCTTCTGCTCTATTCAGCAGTGGTGAGTCCTCATATGGAGTACTGTGTCCAGTTTTGGGCCACACACTTCAAGAAAGATGCGACTAGATTGGAAAGAGTCAATGAAAATCAACAAAAATGATTAGGGGCCTAGGAAGCATGACTTACAAGAAAAGGCTGAAAGAACAAGAGTTGGGTAGTCTAGAGAAAAGAAGACTGAAAGGGAATTTGATAATCTTCATATATCTGAATGGTGATTACAGAGAAGTTGGAGATGTCCCTTGTGGTCACAGAGAAAAGGCTAAGACTAGGAGTAGTGGCTTAAAGCTGCAGCAGAAGAAATCTGGATTAGAAATTAGAAGGAGCTTTCTGACTGTGAAGGTAGTCAAACATTGGAATAAATGCCCTAGAGAAGATGCCTCTCCATTCCTGGAAATTTTTAAGAGCAGGTTAGACAAACACTTGCCTAATATGGTTTAGTCAGCTCCCTTGAGCAAAGGGCTAGACTAGATGACTTACTGAGGTCCCTTCCAGCTTTACTTTCTTATGATCCTATGTTAGGAATAAATATTCCTAACAGGAATATATAGGGTCTAGTCAGAATATATACTGGGAAACTGTGTTGTGAAATATATATTTCTTGGCTGAAATGTTCAACTTAAAAATATACATATTAGAAAACTGTTACAAAAGATTTTCTGCATCTCTCTGTCCATTTCTGACAAGCTTTCCTCACTGATATACATTGGAACATTCCCCACTATTAATGCAAATCACACAGTTCCACTTCATGATTTTCCTTCCACTTAGTAACTTTCAGACATATGTTTCTGCTACATGCTGAAAAAAATGACAGCTTTTTTGTATTTTGGTTTTTGCCTCACATGCAGCAGATGCAGCTGAACAGCTGGGAAAGAATGTGAAATTAGTTGAAAGGTTGGTGGAATGGTGTGAAGCCAAAGACCATGCAGGTGTGATGGGAGAATCCAACAGACTGCTTTCTGCACTGATACGACACAGCAAATCAAAAGTAAGTTACTGGTGAAAAAAGGTAAAGTCACCTGGAAAGGCATTAAAAAGTCATGCTGGGCCTTGTCTTAGGAAATATAGGCCTTGACCCCGTTATCTAGCAAAGAAGTAGACTATGTGCACCTCAGCTGATGTCAGCCACAGCAGAGTAGCTGCTATGGTCATGGCCATGTAACATGGATGAAAGAGAAGAATGAGAGAGACCAGGGAGCCTTCAGCCTTTGGATTATCTGCCTGAATCTTGTTTAGATCTGTTCTGACTTAATAGTCACTGTCTGATGGCTTTTTAATGTGACCTGTATGAAGTGAACCAGTGAAGAACTCAATATACCAAAAGTCATCACTGCTTTTAGCATTTTTTGGTATGGCTGGCAAAGAAACTTACCTTGCATCACTTAACCTTGTTCAGCTGGGCTTACTGCTAAGTCATTTGGATTGAAAAACACTGGAGCAAGATGCCTGGCTAACTCCTAGGCTGCACCTCTGTGATGGGAAGTAGAGTTCTTCTGGCTCCAGGACCTGTCAGTTAGAAATAAGCACCAAGTATAAACATATATCCTAATTCTCTGATTTCTTTAAATACTGTATTTCACAGAAATATTTTTTAAAAAGCTGAGAGATCCAAATGCCTCCTCCCAGGTTAGGTCTAGGTTTGTAGGGTCAAGCTTTGACCTACCTTTGTGCTGTAAATCTGAGATTGCCAGGGTATGTCTATACATGCAATTAATGTGCAGCAATATACTCCGGCACACATCATGCCAGAGTTTATTGCCCCTGGGGGCTATGTTTGAACATGTGCCCAGGACTACAGCACATTGAGCTGAGTTGGAACAGCCCCGGCTGACAGGGAGCCCTGGGGGTCAGCCAGCTCAACATGCTGTAGAGAGGCTACCTGGACCACAAGGGTGCTTCAGTGTGGGGGCTAGCTAGCAGGCAGCCTGCACACTGAAGCACCCTTATGCCCCAACCTGCCCCATCAGCATCTACATGTACATTGCTGCAGAATAAAAAGCTCTGCTGTAGGATAGAACTTGTATTTACAAGTACTAACCTATGGCGGAGTTAATTAGTTTACTTTGTCCTAATGACACTAATCAAAACCTGTTGTATGGAAGAGTATAAAGACACTGGACAAAAGAATTTCATCAGTGTGCAGTGAAAAAAAAGGAAAAATGGCTTAATAAAAAATGTACAGAGATAGAAAAACAGAAGGATAAAGATGTTACATCAATGTATAAAAATATTAATGACCCCACAGGCAAAGGAGGATGTACTGCTAGGGGATGTATAAAAGCCAAGAATGGTGATGTAATTATGGAATAAGAACAGGTATTGAAAAAATGGACAGAGTATATTGAAGAGTTATTCCACAACAGTATAGAAGAAAATCCATCTAAGAACATGGATGGTTTGAAAATTTAGTCAGAAGTACAAACAGTTATCAACTGAACAAAAACCAATAAAGCTACAGAATACAGACTAGGAAAGTTAACAACTGTTATCAATGAGATTTCTGAACATGGAAAAATACCTGAGGACCTCAGTAAATCAATCTTCATTGTGCTCCCCAAAAGACCTGAAGCCACTGAATGTGAACTTCATCAAACCATCAGTTTAACAAGCCATGTGACAAAGATCCTATTAAAGGTGATGATGTTGAGAGCTAGAAGTACAGAGAGACAGGAGATTATGAAAGTTCAATGTGGTTTTGTTGAAGATTGAGGTACAAGAAATGCTACCTTCATAGTACAAATGCTTTTGGAGAAGGCAATAGAAATGAGGAAAGACCTTTTCTTGTGTTTTATTGATTATACCAAAGCTCTTGATAGAGTCAAGCATGAGGAGTTAATGAAAGTATTGAAAGAATTGGATATTGATGGTAAAGACTTAAGAATTTTAAGAAGCCTTTATTGGGACCAAACTGCAGCAGTGAAGATAGAAAATTAACTAAGTGATTTCATCCAAATTAAGAGAGGTGTGAGGCAAGTCTGTGTTTTTTCACCTGACTCATTTGACTTTTACAGTGAGAAAATACTGAGGGAGATTGAGGATTTACCAGGGCTGATCCTTGGTGGACAGAATTGGGAAAACTTGCATTATGCTGATGATGCAGTCTTAATAGCTGATTCAGAAGAGAATTTTAGATAAAACTGTTAGTAAAAGTGAGAAGAAGGTTTAAGGTATCAACTGTAGAAAAACAATGCATAGTAATTACAAAGAAGATCATTCCTGTATGCAACATCAAAGTGGAAAAGAAACAGATAAGGCAGGTCAATAAATGTAACTACTTGGGAAGCTGGATAACATTAGATAGTAAACATGAACATGAAATAAAATGGAGAACACGGATGGCAAAAGACGCATTTTTGAAAATTCAAAAGATATTGACAAATAGTAGAATTTCTATGGGGATGAAATTAAGAGTTTTGGATTACTATGTTATACCAATCCTCATATATGCATCAGAATGCTAGATAGTATTGCCAAGTATGGAAATGAAAATTGAAGCAAGTGAGATGTGGTTCTTAAGGTGCATCTTGAAGGTATGTTAGACAAGTCACACTTCAAATAAAGATATTTTGTTAAAGAGCAGGCTGCAAGAAGAAACTGCTGATTAATTTCAGAAAGAGACTGTTGGAGTTTCTCGACACATTATGAGGAAAGAGGAACTTGAAAGTCTGGTCATAACTGAAAAGATTGATGGAAGGAGAGAATGTGGAAGACAGAGGTTGACTTATGTCAAGAGTCTATCTAAATGGATGAATACGTTGACACTGGAAATTCTGTATGCCTTGAAGAGAAGAAATCTGTGGAAGACCAATGTCCTGTTTGTATATGGTTCCTAAAGAGAGAGAGAATGACACTGCACATGTAGACACATAGACATCCTCCCAAAGGCCAAGTTGCTCTCAGTTTCACTAAGGTAAATCCAGAATAACACCCTACGGTATCTGTGACTTGCATGTGTCTACACATGTGCTTTAATGGACAGTGGCTTATTTTACTGCACATAAAAGCATTACATAAGAAACCAAGCAATTACGCTAATGCAAAGTAAAATAGGCTGCACATTAAGGTCACTTAAAAAACGCCTGCTTTTGGTACTGCATATTAGGGAAACCTAATGCACATTTATTTTGTACCTCATATTAGAGGTACTAAATTTAATATGCATTAGGAAAAGCACATTAATGCACGTATAGACACACCCATTAATGCCAGAGTACTGAGATCAGAAGGAACCTGCCTTCTCTCCTCCCTCCCTGTTTTATAAATATTTCAGTTGAGTTGTTGTAAGAGTTACAAGGTTATTGGGGTGGTTAGAACCAAAAAGTAATTGTTCATTCTAAGTATTTCCTCATAGAAGTTGTACTTGGGTATATTCAAAGCATACAGGTAATACTAGGTGTCAGTGTAGTCTAGCATCCTTATCACTTTGGTATCACTACAGATTGCTTTCAAAATGTATAAATGGCCAGAATCTGCAATCCTTACTCAGTGGAGTAGCCTCATTGGAACAAACAGAGTTAATGGGTACAGCAAGAGTTATTTCTTCTTATGTTAGCCGTGTATTTTTCCCCACTCACTCAGTGTGATTAACTCCACTGTAGGTTAGTACTTGTATATACATGTACTATCCTGCAGTGGAGTTTTTTTTTTCCTCCGCAGCGGCGCACATGTAGACACTGATGGGGCAGGCTGAGCTGGCTAGCCTCCACACTCAAGCACCCTCATACTCCAGCTAGCCCTTCTGCAGCACGTTGAGCTGGGTTGGAACAAAGCCTGGCCTGGCAGGCTGACCCCCAGGGCCCTCTGCCAGTCAGAGCTGCTCTGACTTGACCCAGCTCGTGTAAATGTGGCACCTGGGAATAATAAACTCTGGCACAATATGCGCCAGAATTCATGGCTGCACACTAATAGCACATATAGACATACCTACTGACATGCCTGGGCTGTGATCACGTACATATTATAGACATACCCTGCCTGTCCTAAAGGTTCTCATTGAGCAACTTCAATAAACAAGCGAAGAAGTTTCAAGCTTCCAGACTTACACTTGTATGAAGTTTGTTTTCTCGCACACAAAATTCATTGCAAGCATTGGAATGTGAATCAGTATAAGCATAAGTATTAGCTAATGGGTTTTGGCTTATGTTTGGAGCTAGGAAAAGGAAATAGGGAAGGTTTGTATTTTATTCCATGTCTTTGTCATTACATTTCACTCAATCATCCTATTCAAAGGACTGAAGTAGCAAATCACATTCTCATTTAAAAGACAAAGCTACATTTTTAAATATGATACTTCATTTGCACCTGCAAAATGGGAACAAATATGCAGTTGCCTATGCAGAGGCCTATCAGCATGCAAGTTATCTGATTTGCAGGCAAATATTTTGCAGATGCAATTTGCACAAAAGAGGTAAGAACAGTCATTTAATTTAACTAGCTTCTTTCCTGCTCCCAGATGCTTGAAAATAGAGTCATTAGTGTTCACTTCAGGGGAAGCACATAATGTTTTCTGAAAACCATGCATACACATGTTGCAGGGAGTTCTCAGCTCCTATAAAAATTAGGAAACTAAAAACAATTCAGTGAAAGACAGATAGACACAAGAACCCTTTGCCCATTGTTTTATCACAGATATAAGGTTGGGCCAAGTTAGTACCTAAAAGTGTAGACAAAGGCCGTGTCTACAAAAGTGGTGGACTGCACAATTGTTACTTATGCAAGTACTAATCGACTGTGCAGTAACCGGCATTACTGTACAGTACCATCCCTGCACAGTTTTTTTCCAATGGTACCACGCAGTAGCTCATTACTGGCAAAAATTGCATAGCAATGAGCTACTGCACTGTAGCGTCTTGTGTAGAGGCACCCAGGGTCTCTTTAAATAGTTATAGTAACTGCTTTAAGAGTATTTTATCCAGTTGACATTTTTGTTGCCTGCATCTTGAGCAGGTTAGGCATTATACACAATAGGAAGATAATAGTAAAATTCTTGCTTTAGAACCACAGAAAATGCTTCAGGATCGTGTAACTGTCCATTATTTCTGGTTTCATATTTGTTGGCAGCTACCAAGGACATGCTTCAGGAGAAAACCGTTCACTTCCTGCCAAGTCCTGAAAACTTTCCCTACTCTACAATTTCTGTTATTTAATAACTGGAATCCAAGACGGCCTCAATTCATTAAAAGTTCTGGGCAAAACTCCTGCAGGCCAGGACAGATTGGGTATTTGATAATCAGAAATTGGATGCCAAGCTTACAAGTGGACTCTAGTTTTCCACTCAGAACACAATAAAGGAAGACTGGGCTGATTCAGACAAGGTTTGTGCTGGGTCTCAATACCACAGCATAATGAAGAGAAGAGATTCATCTATGCACATTCGCTGACTTGAAGTGGTGCTGAGAGTTAGATGGAGAGCAAATACTTTTATAGCCAACTGATCCGCACGTGACAAAATAGTTTCTTATAGGGTGCCTGTAGATGTGTGGAGAGGTTGTTCTGATGCACTGCAATTACAGCATGTCAGAGCAGGCTCTATTAACTGAGTCTGCTGGAGCGTGCTAATTAGCAGACTCCAGCAGCCTCCATGTCTCGTGTATCAGCATTCCTGCACTTCAAGACGGTGGCAGGGGTACTTTAACTTCCCCGTCCGCCATGCTGAAGCTCAGGGATGCTGGTACACAAGACGCTGCAGGCACTGTAATTAGAGCGCTTTCAGAGCTGCTGTAATTAAAGCGCATCCCCCACAACCCCTGGAGCACATGTAAAAAAGCCCATAATGCCTAACTTGGAAAAGAGTAAGGAACAAACTTAACTAAATGTGGTGTAACTCAAACTTTCGATTAACCAGCTTGGTTGAACAGGTTACACTGGGAAATTACAGTGTGTAGAATGTATAGATACACACCTATATTTGCAGCAGATATTACAGCTAACATATTTAATGCTGTTTGTTACATGTAATGCAAAACTTGTTTAGTTCTTTTATTTTTATTTATTTTAGGATGTAATTAGGACCATTGTTCAGAGCGGTGGCATCAAGCATTTAGTTACTATGGCAACTAGCGAACATGTAATAATGCAAAATGAAGCTCTTGTTGCTCTGGCACTAATAGCAGCTCTGGAGTTAGGTGAGTATTCCAGGGATTAGGTCTTCATTGTTTTTTTGGTCTGTGCAAAAAATTCAGGGCAGGACGGAGCTGCCTGAGTGTTGCTACATGAGATTTGAGTTTAAATTTGACTAGACCTTCACAAGCATGTCTATAAGTATACAGGCAGCAGGGCTATAGAAATAGTCTGACTGCATAGGTAAAATATAGCCTGTTAAATTCTTTTAAGAGATGTGTAAACTAAAGAGATCCCAAACTAAGCATGATTTTCAGTCACCACTAGGAATCGCAGGGCTGATCGTTAGAAAAAAAAATCACCCTTTTTTTCTGAAAACCGTGCATACACATGTTGCAGGGAAAGATAGGCAGGGAACCCTGCAACTTCATAATTATGCATGTCAAAGTGGCTGCTCTCTACAATCATGTTATTTAAGAGGGAAACAAAAGGTTTTTTTAACCTGGGCAGGAGATTGATATGCTAAAAGTTTTTTAGTTACTTGGCTTTGCCTCAACTGGAATAGCCAAACTCTTTCCAAAATAGATTAGTAAAAACTGCTTAGATGGGACGTGAGGTACTTTCTGATGGAAGCAAAGGGGAATTCTGTACAATAGTGAGTACTGCACATTAATGACTCTTACTGATTTTGTCGAGTTTCTCAGAAACAAATTTGGGAGAGAATTCCAGTTAAAAAATTGGTATGTTACATCATAGCTTGAGCTTATAACACATTCACATTTCCTAGTGGTAAAAGAATTTTTAAACATGACTTTCGATTCTCCTGTTTGTCCTATTTACTTGCCTATTGCAATTCATTCACTTTAGATGATGAATTCTATGGTCAACAATACTTACTTTTGTAATCAGTTTCAACTTTTGTTTTCATGCCCCAGGAGAATAGGGTGTTCAGCTTCCAAAATTCAAGAGAGAAATCAGATGGATAAGTAAATCGTCAGCTTAAAAGAGAGAGAGAACATATTTATATTTAGTTAGGTCTTCTAATCCCTCTCCTTTTGTCTTCCAACATTTCTACATTTGGCACCTACACTAAGTTGACAACATCCTTTTAAAAATGTATGCACCCAGGTCCTGTACTGACCACTTCTGATGGACCCCAAGTGTCCCCTATTATCTTGGATTTTAAGATGATTTCTCTTTTTGTTCAGGATTTTTTTTTTTAAGTATTCAAAGTCAGTTGTGGGTTTCACTAAAGAAAGATTGCAGGGATTGCCTTTCAGTGTTCAGACTGATGGGTGCATTTTCCATTAGGTCACAAAATGCCTAAGTGTATCATTAAATTCCCTAAGTGTTCATTAAGTGAAATTAAACTAACTTACAATTACTTAGCAAAAACTGGCACTCAGCATGACAACATTCAATATATATTTCAGTTTTGCTGCAAACGAAGCCCTAATATTACAGTGGAAGAGAGAAACTGCATCAGTAAGTGGCCAGAAGTAAACCAGCAAAATGACTCTGGCTCTTTGATTTATACTTTTCACTTGTTTGTATTTCAGTCACTGCTGAGAAAGATATTGAAAATGCTCAGTTAGTCCAGATCCTACACAGACTGCTCTCAGATGAGAGGAGTGCGCCAGAAATCAAGTACAATTCCATGGTGCTGATCTGTGCCCTCATGGGATCTGGTGAGTATTTATAAGGGGTTTCTGCTGGGTTACTGCGGGGTGCTTCTGAACTTCCACTGACTTAGTGGGAGCTCAGGGGCAGGCAGCCACCTTGGGAGCAAAGTGTGCCTACGCAGGCACACAGGCAGGCTTTCACTTTTAATGCTTTGTCTCCTGTTATATGCATGCTGGACAGACACGCAAGTCTTCTGTGGCCCCCAGCTGGAGCAGTTCAAAATTGCTGCAGTGGCATGAGGCAGTGCATGTGCTCTCTAGCAAGGGAAACACAGCACGGGGTTGTTCAGTCTTGTGGCTCCCTGCAGTGGAGCGGGGTGGGGAGCAGGGGTGGCACAGAGTGAAGGGAACTGTCAGCATCTGCTCTGCTGTGCTCTCAGCCTCCAGTCTCCTGGCTGTCAGAGATTCAGGAAATAACTGTGTTCAGCCCTAGAGCTGGAGAGATCAATTCCTGGCATGGCCCACCTCCAGAAACCTGATAACTTACTTCCTCTTGCCCGTCCCCTCCTGCTAGAGGTAGATCAACACACAGGGATTCCTGTTCTGAAGGCTTGGCTGTCCACCTGATTCTTCGTTCTCCCCCATGGGTGCCAGGGGATGAGGGTGGATGAGTTAGAGCACTCTGGGTTGCCAGAGGACCAAGCAACCTCATTGCACTCCACATGTAACAGAAAGTACTTCATTTTAAGCACTTCCAAATAGTTGCTGTTTCTTCCAGAGTTATTTTTGGAGAATTTTGCCCATTGCAACACTTCATGGGGCACTTACAGACGTCCACTCGCCCTTTGAAATGCTTTAGATATCACGTCTATATAGCTTGACTCAGATCTTTCACCCTGGAAAGGTTCTAGTTCATCCCATCAATTGGTAGGGCCCACTTGCCCTTGCCCAATGTTATCCAATCTACTTAACACCATGAAAAGGTGAACAGAACCTGCTCTAACCATCCTTGCAAACATGACATCTTTAAATATTCAGACTTTTGAATTACTGGCCAATTTTTTTCAAAGCCCCATCAAGTCCTTCCTTATTTCATGAGTACCTGGTTAGAGGGAACTCTGATGCTCCTAAGTGTTCATGATTTTGCTGCCAGTGAGTGAATAGGCTCTTGAAGTTATTTTAAAATACCCATAAAATAGAATAACTGAAGGAAAGAAACATGTAGTTTCTTTGACCAGTGGTCTCAGAAATTGCATCCAGATGAGCGCAGTCGTGTGGTATGTGACACTGCAAAGCACAGTCCAGTTTTCTCCACACTGCAAGGGCGCGCTGGCTGAGTGTGTGCTGCACCCAGGTTTTTTCGACTCCTGGATATCCCGGGGTCAAATAAATACATAAATAAATAAATAAAACACGGGGAAAAATGGAGCACTGCATGCTCAGCCAGCGCACGCTGCTGAAAAGTGGAGCCAGGCCAGAGCCACATTTCGCTGCCAGCCAGGCTCCGTGTGGCAAAATTGGTGTGGCTGCAGCCCTGGGAGGCCCCCTGGACCCTAGGTAAGTCTGCTGGAGCCAGCCCAGTGCTGGCCCCAGCCTCCTCTACGCCACTTAGGGCAACGTGCTGTGCACCAAAGCGCACACAGCACATTTCCCAGAGAGAAGTGGTGGCACAAGGTGTGTCACCACTATGTGTCCCCAGGGAACCAAATGTCCATGCACATCTGGGTGCACCTAGAGAGGCTAAAAATATTTTTGTCATACTGTTCTGGGCATTTAATTCTTGATCAATTATTTTTTCTAAAACAGATGCTGTTATCACTACACTTTGTTATGGTAAATTTGACATTCTGTTTAGCTTCTCAGTACTAGCAGTTATGTATTACCAGTGAAATAAATATTCCTTGCCAGCTGGAAACTGCTGTTGCAGTGGAATTAGTGTGTTGAAAGAGGAAAGAATGATGAGCCTGGGAAATGTAAATGTGTAACCTAAAGAATCAAAAAAGACAGAGCACTCATGGATAATACTTGTGGCCATGTTCAAGGGCCACAAGGCTCACAGGAGTCTGAGTGTTAAAGCAGTCCTGCCAGTGGAAATAAGTTCCTAAGTCATTTTGGTAATATCTGCTTATACATAGTAATATCCTAGCAGGAGGAGGAGGAGGAGGAGGATCGAGAATGCTTCCACAGTAGAATGCCCTGGATCTGAGAAGCAGCTTCACTGAAAATGTTCAGGGGTTGATGGGTCTCAGAGCCACAGCACTGGCTCACTGCTTTTATATAGTAGGGGCTAGTGTCCAAGATCATTGGAAACTAGTGTGCAGGAAATGAAGGAGGAAAAGAAATATCACAGAAGGCTTGCCACAAGGAAAAGATAGTCATAGCATACAACGTAGCTAATTTTGAAACAGAGGTTCATATTTCTCATGAGCATCTCAGAGCTTAATCAAACTGGTGGCACCTCAGGGTTAGGGGGTGGGGGGCAGAGCTATTTGGACTGTATTGCTGAGTGGGTTGCACTTTTTCCTTCCCCTGCCAAAAATTGATGAACTGTTGTAGGTACTTTTCCAATGCCTGCAGTACAGATCTTCAGTAAATTTCAGCAGAATTCATTCTGTTAAAAAATACTAAATATTAAAAAATTAAAACTCAGTACTGTGAGCCTGTAGCACAGTGATTCTCGACCAGTGTGTCTTGAGATCCTTTCAAGAGTGCTTCAGGGTGCCACAAAATGTTAGCACTGTTAGGTGTGCAGACATGATTCACAAGATAAGCCCAGAGTTTTCAAATCGGAATCCATAATTTTAAGAACGGTCTGACCTGCTGTGGTCTTTCTGAGTTCTTTTCAATAAAAGAATTGCTGTATTATTTTTCTGTAGTCAAAAAGGAGTGGAAACTAAGCTGGCATTTTTTGAGGGCTGCTTTGAGTCTAACAAGGTTGAGAGCCACTGCTGTAGTGCTTTCGGTTTGCATAAATGCACTTTTTAGCCACTTTAAAAGGGGAGGGGGAGCTCATGCTCAGCAGTACACACCAGCTGTTTTACTGCAGCTGTTTTGTCTGCATGAGCCTGTAGTGACACAAGCCAGCTAAGCTGCACTAACATTGACTCTGGATGAAGCAGAGTTAAAGGTGGAGTGGCTATGCTTCATCCCTGCAGTATATGGTAAATTAAATAGTCACATTGTAAAAACTAATTAGGCCTGTGCGAGTAGGCAGCTATTCGATCCGGCCACTTCAGATGGCAGTGGTTCGATCCGGAGCTCCAGATTGGATTGCCGCTTCGATCTGGCCGAAGCGACTCTGAAGCTTCAGAGCTGCCTTGGAGATCCGGCCATAGGGTATAATGAGGAACCAATGAAAGATAAGTTGGTTGTTTTTTGTCAGATTTGGAAGACACTTGCAGGGGTGGTAGCCTCTGTTGAGTGCATGAAGCCTACCAGGTTTTAAGAAGATTGGTGCAGGATTTTGTGGGGGAACTGCACCCCAAATTCTTGAAAGAAAAACTCATGTCACATCTGTGTGTTACACCACAGGGGGCTGAAAACTGCAGGGGTGGTAGCCCCTGGTGAGGCCATGAAGCCTGCCAAGTTTCAAGATTAGTGCAGGGGTTTGGGAGAAACTGCACTTAAAGCTGCAGACAAGCAAAACTCATGACTCAGCTGGCAGTCTTTGTGGCCTCAGCAGGGGCTAGCAGGCCTGCAACTCTCACCCGCTGTGCCTTAACACACACAGTGTCACCCATGGCACGAGTCTTGCTTGTCCGTAGCTTGAGGTGCAGTTCCCCCCAAACCCCTGCACTGCTCTTCTTGAAACTTGGCAGGCTTCATGCTCTCAGCTGGGGCTACTGCCCCTGCAAGTTTCATCCAAACCAGACAAAAAACAACAGTTATAGATATTTCATTGATTCCCCATTATACCCTATGGCCGGGGCTCCAAAGCACTTCGGAAGCTCTGAACGACTTTGGAAAGCCTAATGAAGCCAGCGCTTCAATCCGGACATGCTGCTTTGGACACCAAAATGTCCGAAGCTTCTCTGGATTCGAAGCACGGTCCGAAGCTTCGCACAGCCCTACAACTTATATCAGTACCTTTTTGGCATCCATACAATTGTAGTTTATATGAGTGGTTGTCAGACTCAAGGCACTCCCTCCATTACTTATGTGAATTGAATGGTAGCCCATTTCAAAAACTAAATAGGACAGTGCTTACCTCCTTATAGGAGAGCCAGGCAGTGGAGGGTCAGGGTTGGCCAGACAGGGAAAAGCCTGTACATGTGCTTTTCTGCTCATCTCCTTGTTTTTAGAGGCACCCTTCAAAGGATTTGGCGTCACCCTGGTTGAGAATCACTGCTCTACCTATACTGGTCCCCATCTTTGGTTGCCTGCACAGCAGTATACAAAGCAGTTTTTGTTAGTACCCTGTACAAGGAGGAAGCAGCAGCTGTTTTAGATGGACCAGACTGTCCACATGCTGTTAATTTTTTTAGATTTAGAAAATTCTTCAAACCTGAGTACAGACTGGTTTTTACATTACTGTAACTGAAAACAAACATGCCAACAAGGGCTAACTCTCTCTCTATCCCCAGAAACACATCTCAGCCTCCACTCTGAAACCACCTTAGACAAAAATTAATTTCAATAGCTATACTATACAGGGAGCCTGTAGGCTGATGGCCTGCTCACTGGCTCTGTCAGGCCAGTTTAGGAATTAGTTACTGAAGATTCAAAAAGTTTTTTGCTAAAAATTCCAGCTATTTATTACTAGCACTAGTTTGAAGGCACTTCGGTCTGGTTTTTCAGCACTGCTAGATACCTACAGGGTCATCTGAGGTCCCTGGGAGTTGTGTAAGCCAAACACCTTTCAAAATTCAGTCCTAGTGTTAATTCTGTGCCTCTCCCCCAGCTCAGGAAGTAGTTCTGACTCTGTGTGCGTCACATCAGGGTTATTACCAAGAAAACAGTTTCATGCAGTCACCCAGGCTATTCTGTGCTCATCTGCCCTGCAATAGAAACCTGCCCTCCTGTTTAAGTCAGTATGGGATCTGTTAGCCATATCACCTCAGTTCATCTCAGCTACAAGCATGGGACATAAGGAGAGAAAGCTTCTCATTGGCATCTCTGTGAAAGTTTAGATACATGCATGGAGATGTGCCCAGGGGACAGAATGTGAAACTTTCTTCTCTTTTCCAGAGCCCCTTCACAAGGAAGTGCAGAGCCTGTCGTTTCTAGAAGTTGTATCAAAACTCCGCAGCCATGAGAACAAGACTGTTGCCCAGCAGGCCTCACTTACAGAGCAGAGACTCGCAGTAGAAAGCTGAGGAAAGTCTCCAATTTCCACACAGTATCCCATCACAGATTTCACCTTCGTCCTCTGTCCTGCTGCCGCTCCTGCTATGTTTTCCACTGTATCACTTGTGCATGCGTGTAATGTTCCCCACACACATTGATGAACTGCTGTAGGTACTTGTCCAATAAGGTTTCTAAAATCCATAGGTGGTGTTAACATGAACCTGTCAAAAAAGGTCTCCACCCATCACTGTTCTACTTGTATTCTTGTTGCTTGGGCCACATAGTAGAATGTGCATGTTGTAGTCCTATGATGATGTAAAAGTGGTACTACATGATGACTCTTTCCTCATACCCCTAACTGCATAATAATGTACTGCTAAATTAGGGACAATACAGGATGCAGCAAGTCCAGACTAGGGTATTGATTATAGAATTAAGTGGTAAATCTAGCTCCATTTTTGGTGCTTTGAAAACACAGGAATGATTTAAATGTATTGCTGCTCATTCACTGGTCTCGCCTATTAATGTCAAACTCATGGTACCTAGAGGTAACAAATAAAAATTCCAGTGCGCGCTCACTTTATCCTGTTGTTTGCTCTTTTTTGTATTCAAATGCAGAATTAACAACGGTTCCATGCACTTGTGAAAGTTCCTCTTTAAGAAAGCCCCTATAGTGGTGGGCATAGGACTGATGTAATGTTTGCTTTCAGGTCAAAGAAAAACAGAGGAAGCCATTTTAAACCACTGAAATCCATTTCTCTTGTCATTAGTGTGCACTCTACAGGGATGGTTCAATAGTCATTTGGGCTTTCACCCTAGTGATTTATACTATGCTAAGATTCTGGTCCTATAAAAGCGCTCAGGCAGAAATCCGTCCTCCAAAAGCATTTACAAGGCTTGTGTTCCAGCGACTGTTCAGCAAGCAGTGCACGAAGAGCAGAAATGTTGCTTGAGAGAATTCCAGCCGGTCTCCTGTCTTTAGCAGGGAGCTGTCATATACTGCCAGTTGACAGGAAGGAAGGAAAGAAACCAAATAGTGATTCTATGGCAAAGGGGAAGATCATACTTGCAGGCTTTAGTCTAAATGCTACCCAGGGGGATGTGGTGATGCTAACCTTCCCACAAACCTGCATGCAGTGGGTTTGCATGCATTGTGCATCACTGCTTTACTCAACCAAGTCAGTGAATAAGCGTCTTACATTAGAAGTCCTACTATGCATTACAGTTATAGCTGCTGCTCCTGCCCCATCCCCAACACAGCTCAGACCTGTTCAACAGGAACAACTATAATTCATTTGCCAGGCCCATTAAAACCCCTGCCTTCCTTCCAGACAGTCAAGAAAGGATGCCAATTAAGATTTTTTTCTGCTAAAGAATCTCTTCTCTCAAAGGCCTGTAAACAGCCACTTACTTCTAGCTACTTCTGATGGGTCAAGTTCATAGATTCTCCTAACACAGGGGTTGTCAACTGGGGGTACTTGGAAAGGTGCTGGGAGGGGGGGCAGGTGGGGGCAGCTCCCCTCTGGGTTTTGCAGGCACCACCCGGCTGGCCAGGCGCATGGGGGGGGAGGGGGGCAAGGTTGCTTGTAGCCGCTACCATCCACCACCCTGTGCTGCTGCCACTTGCAAGGCCATCCCCACTCCATGTCTGGCTGCTACCACCCCCACCAGAAGGGATACACTGCTTTAAAAAAGTTGAAAATGCCTGTCTTAACATCAGAACAGTGGTCCACATAGTCCAATACACACTAGCTGCCAGCATCCGTTATTTCAGTGAAAAAAGAGAGTCCCCAAGCACAGCGGTCGGCAACCTATGGTCCCCGGGCCAAATCCGGCCCTCAGATTCTTTGGAAGCAGCCAGTGGACACGAGGCTTCAATGACAGGGGCCACCTTCTGCAGGCTCGCCCTGCACCGCCTCAAGGACAAATGCTGGCTACAAGCATTTCCTCCATGCACTCAGGAGGACAAGCAACAGCAGGGGCCTCCTGGTGCCTGCCCTCCCATCTCTGATGGGGGGGGGCATGTTATTCCAGCTCACAGCCAGAAAAGGTTGCCTGCCCCTGCCATAGCAGACAACTAATAAACTGCTCATACAGGAACTTTCATCCTCCTCCCAGACACTAGCTATTGTTTATACTGCAGCTTTAGAGAAAAGTGCCAAAAAGTCCCGCTGAAGCGCCCAATCTATATAGACGCAGTAGAGCCAGATCAAACTAATGCACTGCTTCTTCCAGTAAAGCACATTCCCCCCACCCCACCCCACCCCCCATGTCTGTGAGCAGCCTACACTAATAAAAAAAGTGCCTTTAGTTAAACTATTTCCACCAGGAGCAAGATGAAACAAGTCCATAGCACCACCTCTTCAGCTGGATTTTCCACAGAAGGAATATCAAATGATTTACTTTTTATGTGTAAAGCTCATCAAGGTCTGCACTGGGTACAAAGAGATGATATTTGTAACTGAAGATAATGTTAGAAAGGAGAGTGTCCTGCACTGGAGCTATCCGAGTGAGCTCCTTCCTGTTCTGATGGATCAGTTTGTTACGATCCGACACAATCACCTGGAGCAGCATTTCCATTGCTGCTACCAAACAATTTAGCACAAGAGCCTTTTTTAAAAAAGAAAATATTTCTTGCCTTGATCCAAAGACTGTACTGGTAGGAGTGCATTTCACTATCCGTTTGCATTTCTTCCAATCCATTTCACTGAGGTCAAATGAATTCAAGCTGCTCGAGTGAACTTATTTATGAATAGACGTACAGTAGACAGATTACACCCAAGTAAATCTTGAAACCTGTACAGCCAGAGTTATTTTTATAGCTATGGTGCCAAGCTTCTTGCTGCTTACTGCTACTGCAGACTAAGCTGAAATAGATCATAGATGCCATACTCAAAATGGTTAGGAGGAGCAGATAGCTAGCAACTGCATTTCACTTGTAGAAGGTCACACAGAGGTAGATGAGATTTTCTATCTCACCAGTCATCAGACAGCCAAAAAACCAAACAAACCCCAAACATATCAGTCAACATTTAAGCAAGATGTTAAAGTGCTTTATCTGCCAGGCTTTATACATAGAACTATTGGCAGAAGTGATATCTTTTATTAGACCAATTAATTGTTTGCAAAAAAATTCTTCATTTGCAAGCTTTTGGGCTCACTCGCCCTTCCTCAGGCAAAGGAGAATGCACAGATTGTAACATTTATCCCAGGTAGAAATGAAATTTCAGAGAATAAAAAGATATTATAGGCTCCCCTGGGTAGAAAAGTTCATTTAATGCAAATTAAGCTAAATACAAGTTCGAGCAATCTGTTTACCTCCAAGTTGTCTGATGGGAAGCTGGGCATTGAATTTTTTCTTCCTTCTTGATAAGATGTTTTCTATTGCACAGGAGAGAGGTTGATGGCTTTATACGTGATATTTCAATGGTGAAAACTCAGCCCCTTAAGTTTTTCATGGTTACAGACATTTTAAGCTGAATAGCAGCAGCACTGTATTTTTATAATTCAATTATCTTACAGTCATTGCATTAAAAAGACAGACTTTAATTGATCTAATTTGTTTGAATTGAAGTTTAACCTCCTGTATACACACAAAGAGAAAGTGAGAGGGGAGTTTCAAATCAGGCAGACACAGCCCAGCAACAGGTACTTAGGCTAGCATTTCAGAGTTCCTCAAGATGATTAAATAATGATACATAAAATGGAAAATTAACCACATCTGCCAAGAACAATATGGAAGCTTTTCAAATGTAAAATTTAAACCGTTACAGTAAGAGATCAGTCATGCTTCAGTAAAGAATATAGATGACAGCACCTCCTTTTGTTAATAAGACAGCCAACTGTGCAACAATCTTTCACATCCACCACATGTTAAAGGCTAAAAGGCAAGACATTGTTTTTGCTCAAATGTAAGTTAGAAGTTATGGGCTGCACACAGAAATTACAGGGCTAGACTCCATGGTCTACAATAGGAAGATGGCCAGACTAGGTGATTCTAATAGTCTCTACTGGTCTTAAAAATGAGATGCTATGATTAATAGCCAGGGCCTAATAAAATGAGTAAGCACTTCTAGGCAACAACAGAGTAATAGTCCTGTGCCCCATCACCTACCTAAAATCATAAAAATAGCATCCCCATCTGTAACTGGTGCAAATCTGTACCGGGATCCATGATGAAAACTTTAGTCCTGATTAATGAGAGAAAGAAGGCACCTTATAGACTAACTGCATCAGAAATCTTTTGTGAGGCCTTGCTCACTTCATCACGTTTTGAAAGGACATGCAAAGAGCTGTGCATTAAATCATAGCAGCAGCAGCAGCAATAGTAAATAATGAGATAGGGGTGTGAGAAACTATTCAATTCAGATTCAGCCTGAAACGGGGACAGCGATTCAATCCACATCTGATTATTCAATGCTGATTCAGCGAATCAGCTATTTGGACACAGGCACAGCTTTAAAAGTTTTTTCTACGTACCTTGAGGTAGCCGCACGGCTTGTGATCACTGCGATGCTGAGGCGGATGGAGCATCCCACAGGAGCATGGAGGGCTCTCAGCAGCAAACGCAGAAGTGGACCAGAAGTACTTCCACTCCACTTCCAGGTCTTCCGGGGAGCATACTGGGGGGCACCGAGCTGGAGGGGTGAAGAGGGAACCCCCAGTATGCTCCCCAGTGGACCAGAAGTGCTTCTGATCCACTTCTGGGTCTGCTGCCGAGTGCGCTGGAGAGGCCTCAGTGCTCCTGTGGTCCGCGGTATCTGCCCCAGCACCGCAGCATTCAGAGCCCCTGCTACCTAGAGGTATGTAGAAAAAACATTTAAAGCTGCGTCTACATCTGCATTGCTGAATCCGTCCAAATCTCTCTGAACCGATTCGGAGAGATTAAAGGGCCCTCCAATTTGATTTGGATTCGGAGAGTCGGTCACCAAATCGGGCCAAATCGAAAGCTGGTCAGACTACGGCAAGTTGCAGCAAATTCCACCCCCACAGTAGGTTCCAGCCTGCTCCAAAAAGGGAATTCAAAATGTTTGGTTTAAAAAAACTTCAATTGTTGACTTACATTTTGAGCAAGTCAGGATGCCAAATGCAGCAACTTCTTCCTACCCTACTTGAACCTTAACCAGATGCTTTATTTGCTGTTATCCCCTGACTGCACCAGTATAAATTAGAAAATGAATTAGCCAATTTGTTTCCTAAGCTTATGGTTTAACTTGAGTGTGCACATATTTATATATCAACATTTGTCTATAACACTGGAAGTGCATGGTGTGTTACATGGAGGACAGACACCTTGCCTTTGCATAGCAGGGTGTAAGGCCCCTAGAAAAATATGCTGATTGTAGCTGAAATCTGGTGTCAGTCCACCCATCATTGCATCCTGGGATGAAACCAGGACTTTTCATGTCCAGAAAACTTAAATCAGGTAAAGCTCCCTCACTCTGACATGGCAGGCAAGGTTTGTTGAGTAGATGTGATATCTTTTATTAGACCAACCGAGTAGCTGGAAAACTTTTTTTAAACTACTCAGTTGGTTTAATAAATGATATCACATCTACTCAACGAAACCTGCCTGCCTATGTC